CATATCATGACAGTAGAAGTGTCAGAGATGATTTTGCTGTTGATAGACTTTAGTCGTATGGATGAATAGTCAATAAAGTGGTAAAACGTGCTTAGTTCGCCAATGGATTCGAAGCGATACCCTCTGGATTTATGCATCTTATGCATCAGCAAGTCAAGCTGTAGATCTGACTGCTGATCTGTTGGTCACAAAAGTAGATTCTTTTCCCACCTTCATTTATATACACAATGCCATGGTCCAATAAAAAGGTAATTCTTCAGCTTGTTCTATGATCAGTCAATCTTCTCCTTGCTGGAATTGATTGTGACCAATTTAGAGAATTACAACAATGAGAAATAACTGACTTTCCAATTTGGAAGTCATACGTAATTGAGCCTGGGAATCAGTATTTTACTCTTAAGTCACCAATATCCCCTATCGTCGCAGAAATATTTATAGATAGTTGGGAACAGATGACCTTTCAAACATTTAGTTCTACTCCAAAGATATGGTTTCGATTTGTGGATGATACATTCACAGTACTGAAATCGGAACACATCAGTAGGTTTTTGGCACATATAAACTGAGTAGTGAATCCAATCCAATTTACCTGTGACATAGAAAGTGAAGAAGGTCAGCTAGCAATGTTGGATTGCATGATTAAACGAACACAAGAAGGAAGTTTAGAGACTGGTCTCGTCTATAGGAAACTTACCCATTCGAATCACTACTTAGACTTCGAATCATCCCACCACCTCAGTTCAGTTAAAGTAGGCCTAGTTAAATGCTTAAGTGATAGAGTGAAAAAGCTTACTAGTAGACCAGAAAATCTACGACAAGGAATTAGACACATCAAGAATACCCTACGTCTCAATAATTACCCACCAAAATTTATATATAAATTCATAAGGAATCGAAAGAAAAATATTCACAGTAGTAGTAGTGGTAGTAGTAGTAATAATAATACAGGTGTTATTAATAATAATCCCACTACTAGTGGGAATAATGGTGATAGGCTTAAGAGGGAATTCAAAGCCTCTACTGTGTTACCTACCGTACAAGGAAGTCACCTCAGAAGCATTACGAAGAATTCTCAATAAGGCTGGTTGGGATTAGAGTGGCTGTAATAAAACTAACAAACTCACTTAGAAACAAGCTTTGTAGATTAAAAGATCCTACCGTTGGAATTCAACAGAATAATCTGGTTTACCAGATCCCTTGCGATGATTGTGAGGTCAAGTACATGAGTCAAAGCAGTAGACCAGCCAGAGTCGATTAGAATAACAGAGAACAAAAACTTAACTAAACCAAGATTAGTAGATCCTAATAAGATAGGAAATCTGGAGAAAATCTCGGCTATATCTCTGAATACGATGATATACAATCAGACAGTAGGGTGGGATTTGGCGACAGTGTTGAAAACTAACTGAGTTGGGTGGAGGAAAGGGGAGATTGATAACCGACTGAGTCATTGTTTATCGAATCCACACCAAATGTATACAGTAATAGAAATGATTCTTCACCTATCCCAGATGTATGGAAAATTCTACTACCCTTGTCATCACAGAGAAGAAGAGAAAACTAGGAATATATAAAGACTGTCTCGAAGTTGTGGAGTTATTTATCTGATATGAATATGGACAATAAATTGTGTCTGAAACGTGGTTATCCAGTAAATGATACTGTTTGTTCACACTGTGATATTTCTAATAAACAGACTAAAATGGAATTACACTGGACCACAGTGCCCAAGTCTTACTACTATATTAGGTCGTTTATAGTTTTCATTCGATAGCATGTCAAGTATCCAGTTCACATAGTGTGCTGATATATCGTTCCAGCCATTAGCTAATATGTTTAATGGATCGTTTTCAGAAGATACTGTATCAACTACCTGAAAAATTGTGAAGATAGTTTCCTTTCTTAAGGCAAATGTTTGAAAATTCCGTTACTGAAAATAATAGAGAAGCTATTAATACGTATATTTCAGCTCTCACTGAAGGTTTTTGGGGATCCCAATGAGTTTGCGTATAAAGACACCACTGTCTTATATCACAATATCACTTTCAATCATGATAGAAATGCCAAGTATGTCAAGTGTGCCTTTTTAGACTATACTTCAGTATTTGATTCTGTCCCAAGATCTTTTCTGATAGAAATGCTAACCGGGACAAATACTGAATCGTGGATAATCACCTGGCTACATTCCTATATCTCTGAGAGGAAACAATATAGTGTTCACACAGGGAAGCGCCCCAACTCATTGTTTACTGTGACTGGTATTCCCCAAGCAGCCATCTGTTCTCCATGTCTTTTCTCATTCTTCATGCGTGACCTACTATCTTCACTTGTCATCGATTTCATCAAGTATGCTGACGACCTGACAGTTTCAATACCTCTCTCCTCTTCAACAGATGGTTCACAACTGAATGATCTCCTATCTACTGTTTGACAATGGTTCTCCCTGAATGGTCTTGTACTTAATTCTTCAAAATATCAGACCACAAACTTTAGTTTCACATGTGAACATAACCTGTGTAAACTGCTTAATTCTCATGATTCCTGTTCGATTGATAGTTGTGCATTAGGGGATGTTATGAGTGTGACTGACTTATCTCGCCGTGTATGTTTCTCTTCCAACCTTTCCTGGTTCTCCCATATCGTAGTAATTTCGAAAAGAATATTCCACCCCACCTTGTATATTAGGAAGTTGAGAGTATCTGGTATATAACTCAGACTCTCCTCTGTTGTGTTTGATAAACTCCTGTTGTCCTCTTGTCTGTTCTGCTCTATTGCTCAGCTTTGTTCTTTCCTGGGTTGCTGAGAAAGGAGTATGCTGCTGTGTTGAGTAGAACTTTGAAGATTTTGAGCATAACCAGATTAGTGTATGTGTAAATGTAGTAGTTAAAACAGTTGTGGACAGAGGTGTTAACTGATGTGAACATGTTGTAGGAGTTATTTTATCAGATGACCAACATTCTCTCCACTCAAAGCTGTCTGATTGTCAGTCGTCAGGTAAGACTAGAAGCACTCTTAAGAAGGTTGTAGATGAACACATATACACTGTTTCTATCCAACTAATGTGAAGTGATATTCTGAAAATACCGTATAGTATTTTTGAAATATCTTTCAGAATAAAGTCATTATTATATTACTACCATTATTATTACAGCTGGTTTCTACTGAGGAGGAGGAGGAGAGGGGGTAAGTACTGGTCAAAGCTATCAAGTAGGTGGTATGATCGGATGAATTTGTTAGACTATCAACATCGTTAATTGTGTAGCAGTCTCAGGCTATGAATGTAGGTGGCTGGATTGAATCTTACCATGGCCCAAATTTTCTTTTCATCTTCAATCACCACCCAGGATCAATATAAGTCCACCTCAGATAGTCAGACTGCTACTCAGCAAGATGCTCCTCACCACTAAATCAGGTTGATTTAAATTGGGATGAGAAGTCTTGGTTGGGTAGCCAATATAAATGTGACCAAGGGATAGTGACACGTCTCGAATTCACATGGCAGTCAGACAAAATCCTTGGCGATTGAAATGAAATTAAGGTCCTGATCAGCAGTTGGGTTTTGTAGTTGAGTTTGTAAAACACCGTGCCGGTAACCTGGAGATAAGTGTTTTGAAACTTACCGTGCACCAGATTTTTATTTCACCTAAAACGATTGCTTTCTCAATTACTTTCTAGGTAATACCGATTCACATGATACAAATTTGTATTGTTCAGTTATTTTCTTGCAAAACAATGAGCTCAACAATTGATTGAATCGAAGATGAATACCCCTAATAATTAACCAGAAGTTATAATCTATGTGATCAGTTAAGTAGAAAGTTAGAACTATCACCGATTTATAACCTATGCTGGAGACTATACAAGTGAACCAGTGAATTTCAGTAAAGTTACCCTATACCCAATCTTTTACCTTAGTTTTGAAGACTTTGGACTTGTTCCTAGGTGAAAGATGAATATACAATGGTTTTCTAGATGATATCATTTAGAGGTGAAACTAATCTTTGAAGTAATTGGCTCCTCCACCACTTCCACCTACCACTAAATTAATCAACTGAGGAGAATATTTTTCATAATGATAACATTATCAACGTATAAGTGAATTTTAAGGCCGATCTGGTACGTGCAGAAATAACCAAACAGGTCTTTGTATTTCGACTTTCAATGTAAGAAGTGTATTCGGTTGTCTTAGTAGTTGTTTGGATGGGATCTAAAATCACTCAGAATGCACATTTACACCAGCCTTTGATTAAATATACATGACAATCAATTAAATCGATGCAGCCAAGTAAGCGAATCCACAGATAGTTAACTAGGTGGGTGTGTAGGTGTGTAGGTATGTATGTGTATATGTTTGTAGGTAGGTAGGTAGGTAGGTAGGTAGGTAGGTAGGTAGGTAGGTAGGTAGGTAGGTAGGTAGGTAGGTAGGCAGGTAGGTGTGTAGGTAGGTAGGTAGGTAGGTAGGTGTGTAGGTAGGTAGGTGTGTAGGTAGGTAGGTAGGTAGGTGTGTAGGTAGGTGTGTAGGTAGGTAGGTGTGTAGGTAGGTAGGTAGGTAGGTGTGTAGGTAGGGTGTAGGTAGGTAGGTAGGTGTGTAGTAGGTGTGGTAGGTAGGTAGGTAGGTAGGTAGGTAGGTAGGTAGGTAGGTAGGTAGGTAGGTAGGTAGGTAGGTAGGTAGGTAGGTAGGTAGGTAGGTAGGTAGGTAGGTAGGTAGGTAGGTAGGTAGGTAGGTAGGTAGGTAGGTAGGTAGGTAGGTAGGTAGGTAGGTAGGTAGGTAGGTAGGTAGGTAGGTAGGTAGGTAGGTAGGTAGGTAGGTAGGTAGGTAGGTAGGTAGGTAGGTAGGTAGGTAGGTAGGTAGGTAGGTAGGTAGGTAGGTAGGTAGGTAGGTAGGTAGGTAGGTAGGTAGGTAGGTAGGTAGGTAGGTAGGTAGGTAGGTGTGTAGGTAGGTAGGTAGGTAGGTATGTAGGTCGGTAGGTTGACAATAGGTTTACATCAAAGATACTTACATTACTTGTTAAAATCACTCCTAAATTAGGCGTTGATGTATTCGTTCGACCAGAAGTTTCATAGATTCTTGGGATATTTGTTGAATCATAATCTTCTGACTGATCAATAAAATCTGTACGTGGGCCAATATCTCCATCAAATTTATCATGCATAATTATAGGGTATAAATTAGTAAGATTATTGAATTCATTGTATTTTGAACTATTTGAACAATGTAAACTGTTGGATGTTGGAGAGGGTAATCCTGTTTGTGTTCCGTGTATATTGGTAACAGGACCTATAAATTTGATAATTCAATAGTTGAATGGATCAATGAATAAAATATAAAGGGGAGTGTTTATTTCGCACAACAATTGTCCTCATCAGTTTGAGTATAAAAGAAATTCCTAATGAATAAGGAGACTAACCTTTTTGTTTACCTGCTTTAACTGGTAATGCGACTTAGCAGTTATATAAACCTAACATGTAAACAAATTGACCGTAATCGATTACTGGAACATCAACTACCACAACAACAATACTACCAGTAGGTTAAAACTATAAAAGAAGACAAACTATTGACAAAAAGCTTTTACTATCTTAACAATAGTCAAAACAGTTGACTAGGATACTCAATATATACAATTTAAACGACCTTGATGGACGCTAAATTCGCTGATAAGTTAAAAAAAAATTTAACAACCAATGAAAGTTCAGCCTTCAGAAGAAGTGGGAAAAACAAAAAGCCAATAATAGTGTGAAAAAAGAGATGATAAAATTATTTTGAGGTTGTAGGCAAACATCAGGCAAAAGTTAGGCAAACCTAAGGATGTATAGCGCTAAGATTAAATTTCTGAGCACTACACTATTACAGAAAGGTCTGGAAGGAAGGGAAGGTACCTGCCAACTGATGGGAAAAAGGACTACCTTGTCAAATTCCTGAAGAAAGGAGACCTATGTCTTTGCAAGAACTGGCGTTGAATCACGATTCTATCCACCCAAGGCAAGCAAGATATTAAACCGCATCATCTTGGAGAGACTAAAGGATGCACTGGATTCAAAACTACAACCACAACAGGCTGGATTCAGGAAGTACAAATCATGTGCGGACCAAATTGCAACGCTACGCAACACATCATAATAGAACAGAGTATAGAATGGCAGTCAACTCAGTTCAACTCTACCTTAACTTCATCGACTTTGAAAAGGCCTTTGACAGCGTCGACGAAGAAGTAATCTGGCAACTGCTCAAACACTACGGAATACGACAATTCTTTATCAGCCTCATTCAACAACTATATGAAGATGCCACATGCCAAGTGATCCACAATGGGAAGCTCAGTGATGCTTTCGAAGTGAAGTCAGGAGTAAGACAAGGCTGTCTACTATCACCGATGATCTTCCTGATTGTAGTGGACTGGATCATGCAACAAACAATGAGGAGCGAGAAGATGGGCATACGCTGGTTGGACAGCGGAAAAGAACCTAGAAGATTTGGATTTCACCGACGATGATTCATATGTAATGTGTTGTGGAATATCTTCAGCTGAAAAGCAACAAGTTGGCAGAAGAGGCAGCGCCGCAAAGACGGAACTTCCTCCAGGTGAATGAAGAGAAGACAGAGGTGATGAAGATACCCAACCAACAATGACAACAGATACCAATCACCATGAACAGGAGAAACTTAAAGGAAGCAGCCTCCTTCACCTATCTAGGAAGCACTACTTCAACTACAGGTGGCACAGGCACAGACGAGGATGTCAAAGCCAGCCACGATCAGAAGGACAGCAAGACAGGCCTTCCTTCATTAGTCTGAAACCAGTGTGGAGATCTATTGCACTGCACTGCACTGCACTGCACCCAGCATAAAGCGTGAACAACATCCGGATTTTTAACACCAATTTAGTCAAGTCAGTCAGTGCTTCTATGTGATGGTTGAGAGACTTGGCGTGTTACAAAAGGCATTTCCAACAAATTACAGACGTTCATCAACAACTGCCATCTACGCTGGCTCGTTACTGAAGATCAGATGGCCAGAATAATAAGAATAAGCAACAAGGAACTCTGGGAACGAACCAACGAAGCGAGAATCTATCGGTCAACAAATATGCAGTGGAAGTGTAGATGGATTGGGTATACACTAAGAAGGCAGACTGGAGACATCACGCGAGAGGCACTCGAGTGGAACCCAGATGTGAAACGACGAGTGGGGCGTCTGTTGTGGTGTTAATGGTGACATAGAGGAAGATGTGTGAAGAAGAAATGAGAGCTTCTGGGCTGTCTTGGAGCGAGTTTCAAAAGCTTGCAGAGAATGGAGTGGAATGGAGACGTGCTACTGAAGCCGTATGTTAGACTAGGAACCCAAGGGACAAATAATAATAATAATAATGGTAATAATAATAATACACTAGCTTATCTATCTTGAGAATAACGCGTAAGCTCTAATTCTTGGGTCAATGCGCAGACTCAATGACTTTTAATTTCTCCTTCTCTGATTGGCATCAGAAATGGTGAATAGGTTAATTTGACAAAATTGAAAGGTGTTGCATTCAAGAGATGATGAGAAGTTTCAATATCTGAAGTGAAATAACCGATCTATATAGGTGATCACTTGTATACTGAAGAGTGAAAAGAAATACATGACGTATAACTTGAGGTTAAAATTACCAGTTACTGAGGTGTCTATAAAGAAACTGAAGACTTCAGAATGTCTATGAAAGTTTTAAGAACTTTGATTTTTATCTTGAACAGAACGTATTCAAGGAATTTGGCAGACTAAATGTAGGAATTGCCAGTTTCTCTCATTAGTGATTTCAGGAGTGTCTTCTAAAGATTACTTATATTTCAGTGATTACCTCACTAAAGGGAATGACCAGAAAGGAAAAGAAAGGGAATTTACCAACTTCGTGAAGTAAGCAATGCGTCACACATATTGTATGACGGATAATGTTATTACTACTTGGTTACACAAATCTCAGTAGGTAATATACTGTTGAAGTCTATGAATCACTCACTAACCGATACTCAGCTCACTTAACCAATAAGCCACAACTCCGTCAACTGTCAATCCAATTATCAAATTGATAATTTAGTTTACTTACATTGGTTGCATTTTTGTAATTATTTAAACAAGTGGATTAGGAGAACCCTTCCAGTCTAATTAATAAAACATTTGTAGGTATTCAATTCATAAGATGAAAAGAAAATGATGAAATCGTAGTTGTGGGCTTTCTTTTTAGTGGAACACATAAGGGGACTGTTGTGACCAAGTGATGGTTGCGTGTATGGGTACAATGATACTGAGACTCAATAGATACCTCAAACGAATAGCTTTAAGACTGACCACCCTCGATACCTTCTGCTTCACTGAGCCGCGTAAAATCAGAAGACAAAAGACGGCCTGTGACTGCAAGAAATAACGCTAACTTTTATTAGGCAAATACATGACATATATGTATCACATAACTCTCAGAAAGTGAAGCCATAAATGAACCAATCAGATTTCTTGTATGAGATCGAATTTCTCCAATCAGGTTCTCATGTCAGTACATGCACAAATCGTGATATGAACATGATCTGATCATGACTTGAAAACAACTCCCCTATTGGCTGCCTTTTCTGTAACACGGACCTTACAGACTCAAGTATAAAGGGTGACACATACAGATCAAGTTTTGAAGTAAAACAAAAATCATTCAAAGTCAGATAAAAAGACTAGTGTACAAGGACTATTGTAGTATACAATAACTACGAAACTAAGAAAAAAAACCACTTTTACAAAATGCCCATGCAACAAACAACTGTGAGAAGGGAGAAGAGGGGCGTACGCTGGCTGCGCCGATGGAAACACCTAGAAGAAGATTTAAATTTCGCCCATGATGATTGATTTCTAATGCCTCACAAACTCGAAGATCTATGGGGGAAAACCAAGAAGTTGGCAGAAGAGGCAGGGCAGCGAAGGAAGACAGGACTTTCTCCAGGTGAACGTAGAGAAGACACAGGTGATGAAGATATCCAACCACTATCACTACTATCACCAACAACAACAAGAAGCACCAACCACCATCAACGGCAGAAATCTAAAGGAAGTATTCTCTTTCACCTATCTAGTCAGCATCGTTTCAACTACAGGTAGTGGCGGCACAGGCACACATGAGGACGTGAAAGCAGCCAGGATACGAAAGACAGTAAGACAGGCCTTCCTTCGTTAATCTGAAATCAATCAGTGTGAAAATGTATTCCACTGCACTGCACTTAGCATGTAGAGCAAGATCCAGATTTTCAACTCTAATTCCGTCAAGTCAGTCAATGCTTGTATGTGATGGTTGAGAGACTTGGCGCGTTATAGAAAGCATTTCTAACAAAATGCAGACATGCATCACATGAACAGCTATCGCCTACGCTTGCTCACTCGATACTGAATATGCAGATTAGATGACGAGAATAATAAGAATAAGCAACAAAGAAGTGTGGCCTGGTGACGAAACAACCAACAACCCATCACTCACCAAATATGCAGTAGGAAAAAGTGGAGATGGATTGGGCATACACTGAGAAGACCATTTGGGTATATCATGCTCCAGTGGAACCCTTATGGGAAACGATGAGTTGGTCATCCGAGCTGAGGGCGACATGAAAGAGATGATATGAGGAAGAAATCAAAGGTTGTGGGCAGCGGTGGAGCCTGTTCCACTAGGAACCCAGTTAAGAATAAATTCCTGATTGTTTGAAATCATTAAGGTGAATTTACCGCAGCTGATGTATAGATAATCAATTATGATTGAATGACTGATTACAAAGGAAATCAGTGAGACAAGAGGATGCTACGGCAACTAAGCAATTCAAACATGATTCTTTTTTATCAATGATGAAGATGTTAACTTCACCAAAGACTGAATTTATAGATTAATAGGAAAGAAATTATCAAAAAATATGAACATACCATTAAAATGATTCTTTTGTCTTTCTAATCTTCTCTGTTCAAAATCTCTTCGACGTTTTATTAAGCAAACTAATATTAATGTTGTAAAAAATAATAGAATAAATATTGAAGCCAATATAATGACTATTGTTTGATCAGATAAATTGATATAACGATTATCTATACGTCGATTATTACTATTTAATCGGCTGTAATGATTTTCATGTCCATTTATTAATTGATTCGAAGGATTTTCATTATTCAACATTTTTATTGATGATGAATATCCATTGGAATAAGTAGAATCTAGTGAATTCATATTATACTCCAATCGACGTATTTGATGCTTATCAGTATCAGTTAATTTACCATAATCATTATCATCATTTGAATTTTCAGAGACTTTGAATGTATTCAAAGATTGAAGAAGATTACTATTCTGTTTGATGACAGAAAAGAAAAAAACAAAAACAAAAAAAAAACTAGTTGAACTGTAAAAACTACTAGTAGTTGTGAACTATGGGCTATTTATTAGATAAAAATGGGGATAACTTGGTTTCAAGGAGGAGGAAGAAGAGGGGCATACACTGGCTGGACAGATGAAAAGATCCCTAGAGAAGAAGATTTCGATTTCGCCCGTGAGTTGTGTCTAATATCGCACAAAGTTGAAGATCTACAGGTAAAAACTAACAAGTTGACAGAAGAGGTAGGGCAGCGAAGACGGGACTTCAAGCCAACAGAAGTGATGATCATACCCAACCAACGCCAACAACAACAAGGCACAGTCACCATGAATGGGAGAAACTAAAAGAAGTAGCCTCTTTCACCTATCTAGGCATCATCGTCTCAACTACAGGTAGCGACATAGACGAGGATGTCAAAACCAGGATCAGAAAGACAACAAGACACACCTTCATTTATTAATCTGAAATCAGTGTGGAGATCTATTGCACTCCATTCAGCAAAAAACATGAACAACATCCAGATTCTCAACACCAATTCACTCAAGTCACTCAGTGCTCCTATGTGATGATTCAGAGAGTTGGCGTGTCAGGGAAAGCACTTGAACAATCTACAGACATTGATGAACACCTGCCACCTACTCTGACTCACTGGATACTGGATATGGAGATGAGATGGCTGTAATAGTAGGAATAAGGAAGGAGGAACTGTGTGTAGCTGGCTGGCAATGAACCACTGAAGGAGGAACCTATCAGGCCAGAAATATGCAGTAGGCGGAAGTGTAGATGTGTTGGATTGGGCATACAGTGAGAATGCCGACTGGAGACATCAGGCGCTAATCCAGTTCACTCGAGGCCAGTGCAGACCAGGTCGTGGGGTGGAATTCAAATGGGAAACGATGTGTTGGTCTTCCAGCTGAAGGTGACATGGAGGAGATTGTGTGGTGAAGAAATGGTAGGTTGTGGGTAGTGATGTATGCAGGTTGAAAATGCTGGAGAGAAGAGAGTGTGCAGTGGAGCGTGCTACTGAAGCCGTGTGTTCCACTAGGAACAGGAGGGAAAAATATTAATGATTATACTAGTAATGGTTTTAAGGTCTCATTCATGGTGGACCTGTACCATTTGAAGAACCATTGAACATCATCAAGCGCTGGAAAAACTATCGATCACCGAATGAATTACTGTAATGTTCTAGCTAGCGACTTACTTGGAGATGAATTTCTCGCGGTTGTGATAAAAAGTCGACCAAGTTGGATGTGAACATAGGTACTTACTGATGGTTTTGAGCTATAGTTCAGCTATAACACACTTGGTATGGATCCTTGTATTTCAACATAATTGCAAAACAGTAACATGGTCGCTGTGGAAACGTAGTACACTGGGCATGATCACAGGAAGGGGGTGTGACTGTGCACTACTGACGATTCCTGTATTAGGACATTCATTCTGCATGACTTACCATCTTAAGTTGGTATCAATTTCATCAAGTATGCTGACGACCTGTCAGTTTCGATACCTCTCTCCTCTTCAACAGATGGTTCACAACTATCGCATTTCTTATCTACTGTCAGTCGATGGTCCCCGTCAATGGTCTTGTACTTAATTCTTCAAAATATCAACCACAAACTTTAGTTTCACATGTGAACATAACCTGTGTAAACTGCTTAATTCTCATGATTCCTGTTCGATTGATAGTTGTGCATTAGGGGATGTTATGAGTGTGACAGACTTATCTCGCCGTGTATGTTTCTCTTCCAACCTTTCCTGGTTCTCCCATATCGTAGTAATTTCGAAAAGAATATTCCACCCCACCTTGTATATTAGGAAGTTGAGAGTATCTGGTATATAACTCAGACTCTCTTCTGTTGTGTTTGATAAACTCCTGTTGTCCTCTTGTCTGTTCTGCTCTATTGCTCAGCTTTGTTCTTTCCTGGGTTGCTGAGAAAGGAGTATGCTGTTGTATTGAGTAGAACTTTGAAGATTTTGAGCATAACCAGATTAGTGTATGTGTAAATGTAGTAGTTAAAACAGTTGTGGACAGAGGTGTTAACTGATGTGAACATGTTGTAGGAGTTATTTTATCAGATGACCGACATTCTCTCCACTCAAAGCTGTCTGAGTGTTGGTCATCTGAAAAGACGAGGAACAAGTAGATAAGACTCTATACATGTACTACAAAATATAAAAACTCTACTATACCGTAAGTATGTAGCTTGTCTGATGTGTAATGAAGAAAATGATAGAGGTGAACTCACAGTAATCAACTTCGGTTACTAAAAGTAAACTAACTGATGAATAGAGTGTTACTATTTACGTATTATGAATCTTATTGCTTTTGTGATTGTCTACCTGAATTGACTGTGGTTTGTGAAAAAGTTGTAGATAGAGCGATTATTCTTATGTTTTCTTTATGTAAGTAATTTCTACTTAATTTCAGTTTGTTATGTATACATATCAGCCTGTTTCTATCCACCAATTGATGCTACATATGATATGTTGAAAATTCTGTAGAGTGTTCTCGAAATAATACCTTTACTTCTATTGACTAGGGAAGGGACTTAACTTTATTTTAGGAATTAGTGAATTGAAACCTAAACATGTCAATTTCTAACATTAAAAGCGTATTAAGTTCAGTAATCGACAGAAGAAGATGAAGCAAAACTTACCAAAAACAGAAAAGGAAGCTTTGAAGAACCTTAGAAATGACAAGGATATAGTAATTGCTAAATCGGACAAATACAATTCAACAGTAGTTAGTGTTAACCAAGTCTGATCATATTCAGAAAGTCAAGGAACATATAGAAACAGGACGCTACGAAGAAATTACGAAATCAGTCGACACTACATCATGAATAAAGTTAAAAGAATCACGGTGGATCTAATACAATGAATGAAGCCATTTCTAGTGAGTCTAAATGGTTTAATTCAATGCCGAAAAACTGATAATCCCAGTAAGATTTATGCTACTATTAAAATTCATAAACGAAATTGTCCTATAAGACGTATTGTAGACTTTTGAAACACTCCTACCTATGACTTATCTAAATATTTGGCGATGTTCTCGAAATAGCTTTCAGTATAAAGCCATTATTATTATTATTATTATTATTATTATTATTATTATTATTATTATTATTATTATTATTAGTAGTAGTAGTAGTAGTAGTAGTAGTAGTAGTAGTAGTACTGTGATTGACTGACTGAATGCCACCTTTATGGCAAAATGTTAAGATCATAACTATGTTTATAAAGGCAACGGGATGTTTCGGTCATTTTAGCTTCGAATTCATCATGGACTGACATAAATTGGAGGAACATTGATAACCTAAGGGTACTGAATACCTGTTTCGTCCTAGTATGCGACACCTTAGCAATGGTCACCAATGACCCAACCCTGTCCCACCACGGATCGAACCCAGGACCTTCAGGTTCCATGACCAGCACATTACCATTGAGTCACTAGGTCAGAATCCAATGCTCCATATTTCCAACTTTTTTCAGTTCATGGTTTAGCGCGACCTACATTCATTGTCGTCGTTGAGTAACTGTCCTCAAATTCAGCCAGTCACTAGTGAGTGCTAGATTAATTCTATCTGGATGTTTGATCCCTTGAGGGGCGGGGTCACGGGTGTGCACTGCTAAGGAGCCCTGTACTAGGACAAAACAGCTGTCCAGTACTCCCAGGTTTCTAATGTTCCTCCAACTGATGTCACGCCATGATGAATACTACGTCTAAAATTAAAAATCCCCATTCATCTCAAAAATATATTACTGTATAGTGCTCATTAGTGACTTGCTTCCAGATGGATATCACGAAGCTCTAATGAGAAGTCGTGATCTGTGGGGTCAGCCAGTCTGAAGTGAAGCGGATGCTAACTGAAGACCTTCTATGGTAGTCGTGAATTGACAGAAGTTGGAAATTGTGATCCAGTGAGGACCGACCAAGTGGCTAAATGGCCAACGCGTTGGTCGTCAAACGTGAGGGTCCTGAGTCCCATCTGTAGCCGGGTCGTAGGTGCGTACTGCTGAGGAGTGCCACACTATGACGTAACAGCTATACGGTACCCTAGGGTTACCAGTGTCCCTCCAAATGATGTCAGTCCATGTTGAATATCAACTTCAATAAATCTTTGTCTATAGATTGTAAAATTGGTAAGATATATACACTTGATGAAGCGGAATTGTAAAGAACACTAGGATACTGTTGTCTTACTCTGCTATCGATCCAAGAATATGTTACGCCTGATACATCAGTACGTGTCATCACCATCATTTTATTGTATATTGAAGAGATGATAATACTTTGTAAAACGGGAAAATAAAAGTATCAAATAACAACTGATATCCGTCGGGCAAGAGGTATCTACCTTGACCAAGTGGTCTAATGGGTAACGCTTTGGCTTTTGAACCGATGAGTAGTGAGTTCCAGTTCCCCTAGTGGGAAAGACACTCATTGGAGTGCAATCGTATTCAGATGACAAGGTCTCAAGCATGCCGAAATGCGCATCCTGGATTCCAATGCCAGTCGGTACCAGCTACCCGGTAACACAGTGATTAGGCGGTCAGTATAAAGGCGTCAGAAAAGCAACCAATCTAGTAACGTAGTTTAAGCAATTCAATCTAGTATAGTAAAGTGAGCATCAAGTATCGAACAACACTTTATATGTTAAAGATGGATAGTGGCTATTGGTGGAATCCAGAATGGGCATTTCTTCCTACTTGGGAGTCTTCAGCTGGATGTAATTATTTCCCAGTAGGTGACGTTGTCACCATCGGGATTCGGACTCTATAATTTGAACACAGGTAATATCGAGGTCTCCGTATAGGAGCCCATATGCCAACAGATACCGATCAATCTGGTCCAATCAACGACTGTATAATACAAGCAATAATACTAAAACTATACCCATCGTGACATAGTCGTGTAGGGGTAACGCTTTGGTGTTTAAAGCGATCTCTCTCGAGTCCGAATCACGGT